GCATGAACGCTCAGTCAATACATTCCAATTCCGATCAGACTTCTCCGGAGAAGTTTGGGATGGAGGTAAGATCGGCTGTCGAAGCAATGATGGGTCGTCTGGGACCTGATACTGTATCCGGCCGATGCCATCCCTGTGCAGAGAAGTGGGCGGTTGTCTTCGTCTCTCCCGATGGTCAAGAACTAAGCATTAAGCAACTCAAGCACAAGAATGAGGATGACGATGAAGATGACGACTGTGGCCATGATAGTGACAGCGAAGACGAAGGGCCGGTAGAAATTTCAAATATGGATAGGGTGTATCACCAACTAAAGGATGCTGTTATGAAATTGGTGGGGGAATACGAAATTCCGGAAGAGCCACTTATCGAGAAGTCAAGGAAGAAATTCAGCAACAGACCTTCAGCCGCGAAAGCTAACAGTGCTCCCAACGTCCCAACTATCAACCCCCCTGAGTCTGAACTTGACCCAAGCAACCCTTTTCACCCACAGAGCAATTTGACTGCCATGATTACTGCAGGGCAATCAAAAGCGCCGGCTCCCGACCGATCACGAGGTGCATCTTCGAAGAATGGCCTAGAAAAACCAAAGCAACGGGTGCAGGAGCCTTCTGTGCTGTTAATCATGCTTCAAGCCGCATCCTCGCAATGTTTAGCACGAGGCGACTATGTTTCCTCCCAGCAATATCACCGGGCACTTTTGCAGGCGCGCAAACTTCCACCATCACTTCAGCGGGAAGAGTTTGGCGCCCTTCTTCATATATTCTCCCGTGGATCACGAGACGTCATTGAGCGTTCAGCATCCGGGATCGAAGAATGTGAGGCTTGGTTCGTTTGGCTAGCGCTTGCGCAAGAGCGTCACGATACTGCAATTGAGACAATGATCCACAAGGTCAAAGATCTTAGAGACAAAATGTGGTATGTTACAGATGTTCGCAACTCGGCAGCATATGACGAAGCTAGGAATGTTGCTCTGGCTTTGAAAAAGATGGGAATGCCTCAGCGACCGAAAGTTGTTACTCAGAACAAGCGCTCAAACTTGAGTCATCGTATGTCAACCAGTAGCTTTGCTCTGTTGAAGTCTGACACTTTGATCGACATTTTGGCCGCAACAACAGAACATGGAGGCCCAAATAAGCTGAGCGACGAACAGGCGAGCATGACTTTCGAGTATCTCAGCAGATATTCCGTTGAAAATTTCTGTAAGGGTGAGGAAAGGATTCATAGGTTCTGTCTGGAGATTGATAAATGTGTCACGAAGCTTGTTGGTGATGGGATACTTGATGGGCCAGTTTTGTGGTCTAGCGAGCTCTTCTCCCGTGACGACCGCGAGATGGCAATTAACAGGCAGAAAGGCGATCTCTATCTTGCTGGCGTGGGCACATTGAGTGTGACTGGCGATGACGATGACTACTATCAAGAGACGGATGGACGAAGCAGTAGCAAGCGTGGTCTTGATATGCTCAGAAGGCCTAGCACTAGCGATCTTTTCGGACGCAACAGGGCTAGCAGTATTGCTGGTTCTTTCCATGATGGACCACCAAGCCGTAAAGGAAGAGCAAAGTCAAACGCAGGATTGATGGATTCTAAAGAGGATTTCTTGGGTATGCCTAGCCCGGGATTGCCCTCGGAATCTCACAACACCTTCTGGTCTCCGTTCTCCTCTCATAATTCTGCAAGCGCTTCTGCATCTGGCAGACCAAAGACTGCGCACTCACCCACACTACTATCGAGGTCCCCCGAAGCTATTAATCGTGAAAAGAGGAAGTTCTTGGCAGAGCTAAAGCAGTCTTTGACAGGTTTACTACTAAGTGATCTCGGACTTGAAGTGTTCAGTCAAGGGAGTGAGACAGATGCTTGGTTTTCTGGTGGATTGGGTGACGAGTGCATCCAGAGGAAAGAAGAACAAGAGGAAAGCAAGAGGAAAGCGATGGAGAAGAGCTCAAAGATCTCTGCCGCCCCTGGGGGTAAAAAGGGTCTGGGAAGGAAGAAGAGCATGAAGAATGTCCGCAAGACTTCTAACCATGGCACTTTTGAGGCACTTGGCAAGGACAAAAAGGGTGAACTGGCTGCCCCGGTTGCCACACTTGAGAACGTGGGCCGTGAAGCACACTCAGGCGAGGAGAATTCATCTTCTAGCGATGCTACTGCGCGTCCTTTCCCCTTCACTGCGACGAAGAAGGGTGGCCTATTGGCATTCCCATTTCTTCATGCATTCAAGAAGCTACTTACAAGGTTTTCCACTCACCCCAATCCGTTCCAGAAACTTCAGGCTATCTATGAACTTGAGCTATTGATTGTGGCAATGCTCTCTTCCCGCTCTCCGGCTTCTCTTCAGGGTAGAAAAGCGATCCCCTCGATGCCGACCTCGCCGTTCCTTGATGCTATGGGAGATGCCGCAAACCGTATCTGTAGTTTGCAGCTTGCACAGCCCAGCAACATTGAGGAGGCGATGGCCAACCTCGAGGAGCGCAGATCCAACTTCACCAATGGAGCTGTCACCTCTCCTTTTATGCCGCCCAGTGGCGCTCGTTCTCCTGCCCCGCATTCTGCTGCACCGAGCGCAGACATGATTGTAGATGTCTTGCAGACTCTCTTCAGACAAGCGGAGATCCGACCGAAGACCTTGTTCCGTGATCTGCAGTATGTTGCAGCATTCGTTCCGGCCTCGATCCTCGATAGAACTGAGGTCGGCAAGGCATTCTGGGACACCGGCTTGGCAGCCTTGGGTCTGAAGCAAGACGTTTGCAGGACCATGGTGGAAATTGCAGATGAGATCGTTGCAAAGGACTCGCATAAACGTGGATCTGAATCAAGCAAAGAGAAAGGTGGAGATTACAGCCGCTACTCCATGCAAGATGCCGCCACAATGTGGAACATCACTGCAAAGGAAGGCGATCCTACTGCTCAGCGCGAATTGGCAATCTTCTACTTGACAAATCCCACTCTTCTGCCACGGTCAACGAAGCCGTTGTCTAAGCCTAAGGATACATTCAGGCCAGAGATGATGGTGCAGAAGGGAGAGGACCCAGACAAGCGTGATCCGGCCACCATGTGTGTTGCGTACCACTGGATGGAGTTGTCTGCTCAAGGGGGCGATGAGGTTGCTAGGAAGTATCTCCGCTCGCAGCGAGAGGAGTGGTAGTTTTTATTTCTATTTTTTTATTTTTATTTTTATTTTTTATTTTATTTTATATTTCTTTTGGGTTGGACATTCGTGTGGGTAGCTAGATATTTTCCTTCTTTGGGTGATGGCGCAATGTTTTCTTCATTCATATGGGGTGCCTGTGGTTCATTTTATTATTGTCTATCGAGGGGATTGCCTTTTGTTTTTTCTGTCTTCTTCATAAAAAGTTTCCGGGGGCTTGCATCATGTAAGATTTTTATTGACACTGGGGGTTGGTTTGTGTATTTCTGCTTTTATGTGTACTCTTTTTTATTCCTTTTTTTCCTTTTTCTCTTCATAGCGTGTATCGTGGGAAACTATGCTGGAGTTGGAACAGGGCATCATATCATCGAAGATGGAGTTTTAGTTTTTTGTATTCTTTCTTTCTTTCGATTCGTTCAAGCACAACACACACAACTGGGAGCGCGGTGGAGCTGCGGAATTCCTACATTCGTTTTTTAAATTCCCTTTTTCTTTTACGTTCTTCCTCATGCATTTTTGACTTGTTCTTTTATACCCTTTATATGCTTTCTGTATTATCGCTTTTGTTTATCTTACACCATTGAGCATCGAGAGAAGAGGGAGGAAGCTGCCAGGGTATGTTTTTTAGTTTAGTTTTTTTGAAATCACCTTTTTAATTTCTATATCTCTTCTTTTTACGTGACTTTTTATTATGGTGTGGTTGGGGGCCGGGGGTGGAGGTGGAGGTTGGAGGGGGGTTGGATGTGGCAAGCTGCTTCTTATCTTCTTATCTTCTTTTTTCAATCTTCATGATATCGACTCTACTCATTCTTTATGATATCGATAATGATGATGGTTATGATTATGATTATGAATTTCACTTGCAATTGGGGTTAGAGGACTTGGCTTTCTTGGTGCGTTGCTTACGGGGATGGAATGATTGAGATTTCTTGAGGCGTATCTGTTTCGCGCAGAAATGGCTGTGCAGTTTTCCGCTGTTAGTGAGGAGGGGCGATAACATGTTTATTAGCTCGAGTTCACAATAGCTTAGGCCGTGTCCGAGTACGCATTATTTAGGTGTCATATATAAGGCTCACGCACTTCCTTTTCTCGCTTTAACACCGTGGAACACAGCAGTAACGTAGCAGGTTGCACCGAGCTAGGGCCACCCAAAAATCGACCGAGTGATTATCCATGAGGCTAGCTACGTGATCCGTAGAAGTACCCTATGGGTGATGGAAATACCCTACCTAATGGGAGTCATCGATCATCAATATATAGTGGTTGAGCTCACTTTGACTATCTGACTCTCAACGGGGCCGCTGTAAATACTCCCTGGCCGTTGTAGGTAGGTACGTCCATGTTAGCATCCGCCGTCATCCCGGGAGTGAGTGTACTGGCTGCTACATGTTCATACAAGACTAGCTATAGCCTCTTGTTCATAGGAGAGGATAATTAGGGGTGAATGATGTGAAACTAATACTAAGGACTAAACTACTTCGGATCGGATGTGATGTACGGGCAGGTGTCACATACAGGACTGCTGCGGTGGAGTCAAATCAAGCTATATACAGGAGAGATCGAGATCGAGAGTAGAGAGGACAAGAGAAAGATGATCAACCATTTCTAGCTTAGGTAATGGGTTACACTAGTGATCAAGTGAAAATTTTTCCTACGTACGGGCAATGGGGAATAAAGGTGGCTCTTAGTAATTCACTAGTGCCCGTGGTCCGACAGGTTGATTGCACACATCACACGACGCAACAACACCATTACAACACCAACTCTAATCACTATCAAAAAAACGAACAAAAACACTGGATTAAATTATCCTCGTTCTGAAACGAACGAGGACAAGAAGAAAAGGCAGATAAACTACATTATTCCCAGAGGAAGTGACTTTCCTGCACCTCTTCCTCTGCGAATATGAAAATCCCCCCCGCCCCAGCACCCCAGATGATTCTGGTTATCGTTAGCTAAGCTCACTCGAGATCAATTTCAGGATGTAAACACTTACTGCATCTCGCTCATCGGTGCAGGCACTGGGTGGGTTTTTATGACCCAACCCGGCCCGGCCCGTTATGCCGTGGGCCACAACGCCAGATAGGATAATATCTCTGTATGACTAGTGGATGGTGTTAGCTATCTTTCTGGTTTATGAAATTGCTAGAATACAATGAATACTTACACAACGAACCGCCCTTCCTATGGAGGTGGAGGAGTTGGATGGTCTATAGATCGATGAATTAGCTATGAGCAATAATTGTTATATCAGATCAACATGGGACTTACTGGTCGCAGACCCTCCGAAGATGATCAAAACCTTCGCCATTCCGATCTAGTGGGCTCACGATAATATCAACAATCTGTAGCACTGAAATTTTGACGAGGATACCTACCGAGTTCCCCTTGTCCAGGACCGATGGACCGCTATAACGTCCATCACTTATTGCGTCCTGCCTACAAAACATTAGCAACCGATCTATATTATTCGTTATGTTTGACAGACGTCGTCTACAAGTTTTAGAGGACTTACCGGGTTGCCAAGCTCCCCAATACCTGGTCGAGATATCTCTCGAGACTGACTAGAAAGCGCAACAAGATATCAGCCATCTGCAAGGAAACTGGGACGGTGATACTTACGGCAAGCATCCACAATTCTTTTCCTTTAATTTTCATAATATTAGCTAAGCCACTATAACTATTACTTAAAATCAAAGGGACACTTACTCCCGCAGCACAAGGATCTTTTCGTCTGTCTGTTAACACGGCACTACATTAGCAATCTATATCATACAGCAACAAAACGTTATAAAGCCAATGAAATATATTACTCACGACAATAAACTAAACCTACCAGCAGAAGACAGCTGATGGTAGGCATGGCTTCACTGAAGCCGATTGAAACCTGGACCATACTTCATGTGCAGAAGCAGGCGGGCCAGCCTAATAGGTGGCGCGAGAAGATTGGAGATATTGCCGCTCCCACTTGTATGCGGACGGCTTTATTAAAGCCGATTGAATCCTGGACCATACTCCTAGGTGTGCGAACGGACGAAGGCTATGTAGCAGTGGTATGTGGGGGCGGCAAATACCAATTGGTAGATTTCTAATAATATTGATTAGTTTATTTTCGCACATCAAGCAACGGATATTTGTTATAAGTCTCACAGCAGGAAGCACCCCCAGGCCAAGCAGACAATGACCAGCATTGTCTCCCAAACAGCAGCCGAAGGATGATCTTTCGATCTTATCCCCAATCCTCCAATATGATGAATGGACTATATGTAACGGACACATTATCATTCATTTATACTCATATCATATTGTAGCTTTGGAAAATAATTACGTTAGAGTTTGTGCACAGAAATGTATCTGGCTATGACAATATCAAATACCACGCATTAGCAATTTGAAACAAATTAACAGTAACGATGATATTAATTATTCACCCGAGTCGTTCAAACGGTAAAAACTGGCTGTAATATCATAACACCACATCAGTAGCAAATCTTAAAGAAATAAATAGCAATGAAGATATTATTTACTTACTTAGGTGGCTCAGCCTACCATCCAACAAATCTTCTTGGCTCCCGATCTGGCAATATCAAAAACCACATTTCAGCAATTTCAGAGGAAGAAAAACAAACGATGACATTAATAACTTACTGCGACGTACCACAGGACTAGAAGGGCCCCCGGATCCGTTGAATCCTTGGACGGAGCCTCCTTCGTAATCTTCTCGAACGCAGAGAAGGAAGGTAAAAAAAGAAGGACGGAGCCTCCAAGGACTATCCCCTCTTTCAAGAGGCGAAAAGGCAGCAAGAACAAGAGAAATGAAAAGGAGTCTGAAGCCTCCCCCGGACCCACTCTTTAAAGAGATGGGTCCGTTGATAAAAATACAGAAAAATACAAAGGAAAAAAAAGAAAGAAAAACAGAGAATAATGAGTATTCATCTGTTTCTCGAGACAGAGATGACTCTGCTCGTTTCTTCAAACCCAACAAAAGGGAAAAAAGGGATTGTGGGATAAAAATAAAAGACAAAAGAAAAAACCACCCCGCAGCAAAAGAAGATAAAAATACATCTACCGAATTATCAGCAAATACTTCACCGCAGTAGCCATCAGGAATCCGGATATTGTATCTTACCTCCATCCCGTATGATAAAAAATGAAAATGCATTAGCCAAATGTTTCATGGCGTGTAGCGAAGAGGGAGTCTGCATACACTAGGTATGAAAAACAGACGGTGCGAATATGGAGAAGAGAAGGAAAGGAAGGGAAGCAGTCGGAAAAGCGCTTTTATACTAAATGATCGCGTGCTGTAGATTTCACTGACTACTTGTATATATAATTACAGCCCCTCGTTCTCTTGTGACGGTATCATAATTGTGGACATGACGACTACTACTCATAACCGAGTGAAAGTATATGAAGAGGCGTATGCTCGCTTTAGACGCCAGTAGTCTTGGCTATGGGTATTGGCGGCGAATATCCTGGGTGGTGGAGGTACTCAAGGCATGTTTCCTAGTTTCAGGACGTAGTGGACTTACTGTATTAGGACATGTCCTGGGCAAGGGTCTTATTACTGCTTGCCGTAACCAGTCTGTATCTCCTGCAATGCACAGGTCTAAATGTATCTACATGCGTACTCTACTACTCGTAGTTTCCTGGCGTTTTTGGACTGGGCCACTATTGCACACACCCAAAATCAGGGTCTTGGCGTATTTTTGTATGGTATGCAATATCAGTCGCGTTCAAAAACGTCAGGAAGTTACGAGTAGAGCGCTGCATACATACATGTAAGTATATACAAAACTAGGATCATTCGATTCTCGTACTACACACAGCTAGAGAATTTCCCACGCCCCAGCACAAAGTTTAAACGTTTAGGTATGGAAAGGCTACTTGACCTCACATCACTGCAAAACATTACATCACAACCCAGAGCCCCCCACAAACTACATTTCCTCGGTGAAGCATATCCCTACTAATCAATCCCAATTGGGAATCTATTACTAGCGCCTGTACTATCTAACAACACCAGCAAGTAAAAATAAAAATGTAGAAGCTATGTAAATCTAATTGTGCGCCAAACTCCCGGATTGCTAAACCAGAACTCCCAAATACTCAGCCCTGGTCCACTTCTCCTTCAGCCCCGGCCACTGCACTATAAACCTATCCACGAACGGATACAGCAGCTTCCCGGACAGCGACAACGTCTTAACCCTCGCGAAAGACTCCACATACACCGTCCTCGTCTTGAAGCCAAAGAACCTGAACAGCAGGCAGATAGCCACCATCATCACTGCCGAGCCCGGACCATTACACACCAGTGTATTCGGTATCCCCGGGTTCATAAATGCCTTCAGACACCCCCACAGACACGCCAGACAGCTGAAAGGCGTCGTGAACCAGCTCTGGCCGACTCTACGGGCACGTGGGATCTCGACGAGTTTGTAGCCAAACTTCCCGCTTTTGCTGGGGCCGAGCGCGCGCTCAAAGGCGACTGCTTTGGCGGCGGAGAAGGTGTCGCCGGAGGAGAAGACGTAGGTGCGGTTGTAGCGGTCCGGGGACATCGCGCTGAAGAGGGAGAGCATTTCGGCGGTGTGGCCGCCCGAGCCGAGGAGTATCATGATTGCAGGGCGGGCTTTACGGTCTACGAACCGTGGAGGAGGCGTGGGGGTAAAGTAGGGTATTATGGCATGGAGTCGGATCTGTAGGTTTTTTGGTGGTTAGTTGAGATAGAGAGTTTAGTTTCCTAGGGAGGGATAGAGAAATTACAATTAAGAAAACGACAGTCGAGAGGAGGAGAACGAGCCCAATTATTAACAGAATCATGATTTCGGGGGGCCGAGTGACAGGATGATGATGCAGTACGTACTAGCTCGGTGTGCGTGTCAACGGTGTCATAAAGCTCTCCAGAGCTCATTGAGAGGGTAACACCTTCCAGCCATTACCCTCCCCTGCCAAGCCCCCACCAGGAAAGAATTCCAGGTACAAGGCCCCTCCACCGCAACCCACCGACCGCCTGCCCGCCCGCCCCTACCAGATCACCTCATAATGCTGCTGCCACGACTAATATCCAGCCTGCGGGCGACCTGCAGCTCTGCTCTCCGACAGCAGTCGTTCCTCAAGCCCGCCGTCACTACCACTGTCCGTTATGCAACCCACAAAGCCTCAAAGGCCTCCAACGGCGCCAAAGACGGTCCCGGAAAGCGTCTCGGTGCCAAAAAGACCACCGGTGCGCCTTACTGCTCCAATCCCCACTACTGAATCACACCAATTGACTCTGGGGACATAACAGGCGAAAAGGTTGTCACCGGAATGATCATCTACCGTCAACGCGGAACCGTCTGGCACCCCGGCGAAAACGCCGGAATGGGTCGTGACCACACAATCTACGCGCTGCAGCCAGGCTATGTGCGCTACTATAAAGATCCAGCGAAGCACCCGCGCCGCCAGTACATTGGTATTGCTGTGACGCCAACGCAGACGCTGCCGAAGCCGCAGAATGCAGCGAGAGTGCGTAGGTTGGGAATGGTGGCAGTGCCGCTACATGAGACTGTCAAGAAGAGCGATTTGGTGCCGCAGGGAACACCCATGACCAAGGAGGACAACTGGAAGGTGTCACAGGGATCTTACATCCCAAGAGCGGCCAATTGGCGTATCGGAAAGGTTATGCCCAAGCTGGTGAGGAAGAAAGTGAGAGCGGACACAAGGAGAAAGGCAGTGAGGAAGAGGGAGATTGCCGTCAAGAAGAGGAAGTAGATTGTGGGCTGAGGGGTCTAGCCCTCTTTTTGTATAAAAATAAAAATTTGAGAGGGCTTGTAGTATTAGATGCGGGGCATTTTTTTTCTTCCGGATTTTCGCGAGCAATAATTATTGTGTAAATACCACCATTTGTGACACTACCCGCCAGTTTTGCCGGGTTTCATCGATTAAAATCCCAAAAATTTCGAGTGATATTTCATGAGTGGGATGAAACCCATATCAATGCGCTCGATGATTGAGAGTTCAGTAAGCATAAATGGAAGTCCGAATTTATACCCATGATCGTGATTGGAGCTACGTCATTCAGCGTTATGATCAGCTACGTTGAATTGCTCTACGGGCACACCGTGGCATTCTTGTCGTCAACGTCTGCCATAGATTAGGGTCTACATAGTAGGCCTTCGCCAAACGGTGAGGGACTGTGGACTCGTTTTTATCGTCGGTTTTCTTTTTTATCCTCTTTTTCTCTTCCTTTCGAAATTTCCCTAAACAGTAGTGATAAAGACATTAGCAATTAACTCGGCTCTTAAAGAGGAACTAGATTCTCCACGGAAAAGTTCCCTTACCGAAGCTGAGATAGTGGTCGTATACTACATGTAGGTCGTCTCGCTCATATATATAAAAGTCGTTGTAAAAGATTTTTTCCATAATCATCCATACGATCGCGAGTTCTCTGCAACGAAACACACTAGAGCCAAAAGAGCAATTAGTATTGATTCATTATCATTTATGTTGTCTCGTAGAAACAAATGATGTGTGTTCCTACATAATAGCCCTTTCCCTCAAGTGGTAGTGATTCGCCAGTTGACCTGGGACATGACCTGGGACATGTCTAAGACAACCATGGTCAAGTATTACACTTATGGATAGATAATAATTGTGTCTTAGACCATGATGTCTAGAGAGCTCTTTATTCGTCAATCTTATTGGAACTACATTCATTGATCATTTATGCAGGTCTTTAAACCCATGCATAATATATCGGTGTCGATCAGGGAAAACCGTACGTATTCGACAGCATAGCCAAATCCTTATTCCGAAGAACCACACAACCGATAAACCTCAAATCTTCCTAAAGATCGGAGGGCCTTGGTGAGGTCCCAGAATATATTTTCCGACTATTCCTCTCATCAATTGGAGGCTAAAGAGTGCCGTGGTGAACAGGGGGGCCGCTTCGTTGCGTTGCCACCACACTGGACTCTCTTACCAGGTCGGCACCTCCAACCTGGCCTGGGATCTTATCTCAATACTTATATAAAAGATGGGTATATATAGGCTCTATTCCGTAGTCCTTGTAGTAAATTAACAAAACCTACATTTTCACTTACCTTGACATTCTCGCTCTATAAGCTATTCAGTACTGCATACCTGCCAAGGCCCGAGTGACACTCCGTGATGTCTATCGCCTGCACTATTACCTAATCACACACCTTCTTTCAATTCCACTTTTGAATTTTCGGCCCTCCAACCCAAAACTCCCCCAATCCCCATACTCCCGCCGCCGCCGCAATGGCCACCCATACGACCCGCCAAACCGCTTCAACGCTGCTCACCACCTCGCGCTGTCTCCGGCGCCAAACACCCGCCGCTGCCCGCCTCCTGGCCGTGCCCTCGGCCCGACGATGCATGCACCAAGAGCAGCAACCTCCTGCGGAAGCAGCACCATCAGCCGGTATTTCGTACAGGCCAATGATAAACAGGAATAGGGCGCCCTTCTCGCTAAGGGGCTCGAAGCCATTTGCTATCAATGAGGACCCGGAGAAGCTGGATACGATGTACCAGTCGCTGCTGGGTGGGAACCCAGGGCTCAGTGAAGAGATCAAGTTGCAGGCGGTCACACACAAGAGTTTTGATCACGGGTGGCAGCCGTATAATGAGAAACTTGCCTTCTTTGGTGAGTGTCTTTTTATATACTGCTTACAGAGGTTTCGGGATCGTGTTGCTCGAGGTGGGGGTTGGGGGGGCAATGCGCTGGGGTTTCAGGATATATCGAGATCGCATATATTGGAGCTAGATATCGATTTTATTCATAACTAACCATCGCGGATTCTACTATACAGGTAAACTAGTTCTACAGATGCACACCTCTCTACATCACCTTGCAACCCGACCCGAGTCACTAGGCCCCCGTAAGCCCCACACTGCGCCCACCGAAAATGATGCCAACGGCCCGGTACTGAAGCCGTTCCACCACCCTGACTACCACTACCTCACCTTTGTCAACCGCCAAAACGTCTTGGATACTCTCAGCGCTGGAAAATTAGGGCATCTTGTGCGCGTTGTGGGCCTACCGGAGGTCATGAGGTGGAAGCCAGCAGACGTGGGTGCTCACCTTGTCCACCCAATAATGAGCTCTGTTTGGACTGACTGATGATGTGGATACATAGACCAACGACCTTGTGAGGTCTGGACAGACCGATGTTGCGGTGGAGTGCTTGTACGCGATCATTGGCGCGGTGGCACTACGGAGGGGTGGAGACGTCGCGGGAAGGCTGGTAAGGGAGAGGATACTGAGTGTATTGGGGTCCCCTCTAAGGTCAACCGAATAAAAGTGAGATTGCGTGGTTGATGGGAGAAAGCTGGTTTTCATTCCTTGTGATCATGACGGCTTCGTAATTACATAGCCAAAGGAAAGGGAAAAAAAGTATATTGTTAGTGATAGGCTGTGAAGCTGATACGAACAATAGCAAAGTAAGATCTCACTGAATACATGCAGCTCAATCATTGACTGTGTGAACTGATCAGCCACAGGGTTGGAATTCGGTGTCAAAAATACTAAAACAGTCTGGTAAACTTTGATTTGTGAAAAAAGTGGAAATCATCAACTCCTCCGCAGTACTGAGATATTCATACATGTTGTAGTCACCATTACAGGTAACAAGCCAGGGCCGAATGCGGTTGCACGGCACAAATGAGATTCCGCGATTTGCCAAGCCACGCATCCCACCATCCCGTTTTAACTTTTCTTTACGAGTCACAAAGAACGGCCCGTCGAACTCTCTCTCACTTACTCACTCTTTCTCCTCCACCTTCTCTCTCATCCTCCTTTACTACTTCCTATCATCAACCTTTCGCTTTCAACACCCGAAACACTGCTGGATTTACTAAGGTATGCTTGTTCCATAAACCTCTTACTCTGTCACCCCTCATGCTCGCTTTGATGAAAACCGTATTTTATTCCATTGAGAGGGAGAATGTTTGATTTTTCGCCCTCCCTGAAGATTAAAAACAGACTACAACGGTATCTGAGCGACCAACGAGCATCTGCAGTTTGACATGGTTCCCGAGGCTGAGAAATAGATACTCATGCTAACATGAATTGTCTCTGCAGAATAGGTCGCTTTACAGATCAGTTTTGGGTGTCTAGTGGTATGTGCCTACTTTCCCCCACTTTTGGGTCCCCCCCCCCCCTCTTCTTTCCCCGCCCCATTGCCCTGATGAAAACCGTATTATTTCCATTGAGCGGGAGAATGTTTGATTTTTCGCCCTCCCTGAAGATCAAAAACAGACTACAACGGTATCTGAGCTACACACACATCATCATTATTGATTGATTACCAGTGCACTACATCTATCTGCATGCACGTTTAAAAAACCTCAACCGCTAACTTGCATCAAACAGAACCATAATGACCAGCTCAGCCCCTTCCATAACAATAACGCCGGCGGATTCGACATCCACGCACCCCGCACCCACCTTCACTCTGCCCACCCCACCCGCCGCCGCCGCCCCCGCCCGCTACAAGAAGCCAAACTATAATGTAGTCCATGCTCTTCCCCTCCCACTAACCACTGTCCCTCTTCCTCCGCTGATTCCCCACAACCCCCTCTCCCTGCTCCATATTATAATTGCCTACCTCTTCCCTGGCACCACGTCCCATCCATCCCCGCTACATGTGGGCGCCTTCCACGCCTCAACCCGTGCGATCCATGTAACGGACCCACAGTCCATCAAGGCCTTCTGGGAGCACGGCTTCTTCGGCAAGGGCTCGCTCTCACGCTCAGAGCCCACATGGGTCATCCGCAAACGCCGCGCGCTGGGCGTGATTGGCCAGAACGAGGCGCTGACTTCTGAAGAAGTCACAATGCGGCGGCGTGAGGAGCGCAAAGAGTTTAAACGTGAGCGAGCCCGCGCCGAGAAAGAGCGTAGGGAGAAACAACTAGCAGAGGAGGGGAAGATCGTCAAGAGCCCCGACGATGACCAAGAAAAGGAGCAGCGAGATGCCGCTGCAGCGGCTTCCTCCTCCTCAAAGTCTATAACCTTTGCAACGGTGGAGCTACCGCCGCGGAGGAGAAGCCCTGAAAGACCAATTGTGGAAGTTGAGGACCTAGAGCATCTGCAGCTCACGCTTGAGGAGTCCTTTTTCTTGTCTTTCGGGCTAGGCGTCTTGCAAATCAAGGATTCCAAAACTGATGTATGTACTAATCAAATAAACTCGTTTTTTCTATTCCATCCATCCATCCAAGTGAAAAAGAAACATAAACCCATAAAAAAGCCATAAAAATTGACTCCATCTTTCAGGAAATCATTCCTCAAAAAGACTTGCTTTCCATGTTCCGTTGCCAATCGTATTTCCCGCCACGCACGCCCGACATGCTCCAGCCTGATGACCCATTCCTGCTCAACTATGTTGTCTACCACCACTTCCGCTCACTCGGCTGGGTGGTCAAGTCTGGTATCAAATTCGCCGTAGACTACCGTAAACCTCACCCCCTACCCTCTACCTACATTACGAAAACAACTAACAATCATAACCCAGTTCTCTACAACCGCGGGCCCGTCTTCACCCACGCTGAATTCGCAGTCCTCGTCCTTCCAGCATACTCACACCCCTACTGGGACAATGACCGAGTGCGCAAGGAGGAGCGCGAGAAGAGGCCGTGGCACTGGCTACACTGCATCAACCGTGTCAGCTCGCAGGTCAAGAAGACGCTTATCTTGGTTTACGTAGAGGTCCCACCGCCGCTAGCGAAGGTTGGCGCTGAGGATAATGTGCCCAAGATGTTGGCGAGGTACAAGGTGCGCGAAGTGGCGCTGCGCAGGTGGCTGGTTTCTCGTAATAGAGATTAATATTTTTTTGCTATTGATTCCGTGGAGGGCAGGGGAGTTTTTAGTTTTTCAAAAGCCGGCGTTCTTGTGGTTTCTACTAGCAGTTATCAGGGTTTAGATGAAATAAAAGCGGGTCATTCTTATCAAGTTTGTGAATGGACTGATATGTTTTTCTTTTGTGGTTTTGCTTACTCGTTCTATCCATTTCCGCCCAATGTAGAATACAAATTACATCAACCATAATAACTCCTTCCAAGCAGAGTCAGTAACAAGAACAAAGAAAGAGAAAGAAGAAAAAAGAAGCACACAAGGAATCAATCCATAGTCTATAAATTCACAACCCCCCCTACAACCCACCTACAACAACCCCTTCCTTGCTAGCTCCACCTTCAACTTTGTCGCCCCCTCCGCCCCGCTCTTACTCACGCATATCGCCATGCCATCTGGATCCAGCTCAAACTTCTCCTCGACGTCCGGCCACGCGCAGGGGCAGTGCGTAGGCTTATCCACGCAGGCCAGCGTTCCAGGACACAGGTAGTTGCTACACGATGCTACTCTCTATGTCAGCCCACCTTCTACACTCACAGTATTGGAGAGTAGTAGAGGCACATACCGCCGTCGTAAGTGTTCTGGTACCACTGACTATCCGACGCGACGTTCTGGCCGCGCTGTTGCTGCTGCTGCTGTTGCTGGCCGCCGCCGCCAAACATGCCCTCGAAGAAGTTGCCGAATTGGGCGCTGGCAAGCAGTGGGAGTGTGAGGAGCGGGAGCAGTGATAGGTACATTCTGTTTTTTTTCTCCTTGTGCTTTTGGCCTTTGTTTGGTGCGGGTGGTGGGGATTTGAAAAGGTGTTTACTTGTCGGGTGTTTGTACTGGAAATCCAAAGCAAGCAAATAGTTGAGGACAGCTTTGACGTTTGACTGAGGCTCTACTGTACCTACTCAAACCTAGTCTAATCGGGGCTTGGCATTGAAAGTACTCACTACCCCGGCCGCGGCGGCCTCGACGCACAGCGCATTAACTACATGTAGTTGTTGGCAACGTCTGGGACAACGTAGGCTAAAGAGAGGTATCGACTACATCCTCTATGTCTATCCTCTTCCGTCAGTGGCTAGCCATACTTCTCGCACTTACAAAAACTGCCGTTTCGCGTGGGAGGTTGCGAATCATTTACTGTGACCCGGGGTCATGGAAAATCATTCGACGTTTCGTTTCCGCCTGGAGTCCCAGTGAGAAGACCACGACATGTCTTCGAATTGGTCTGACCCGAGTCGAGTCAGGAAAGAAGGTCCTTGATTGGCGGCTGAGACTGCTGAGGTGGTTTGCCTATTTTCTGCAATGGTGTAACATATAAAAACAGCAACACGGCTACCTCCTTGCAGTACATCGTGCCCGCAAAGAAATTTCTATCATCCGCTCACGCCGATAAAAAAAAAATCTATTTGTGCTCGTGAGCAGTCAGGGATGGGATGATCATGATGGCCCATGGCTGATCAGCACAGTGTATACATAGCCACCTACGTGTATGGATACATGGCCCCGATGATTGGATCCAACGGTTTCGCATGGAGCGCGCAGCGGCGCTTGGGTATATACGTATATACATCTATATACCTATAGTACCGTGGTCCGATTTGAATCCACGACTCGAATCAAGTCATAGGGTGAGTATTCATTTATGAAACTACATCTATTGATCGTCATCAGCTGGATCACCAAAAGAGTGGAGTAGAATGGAAGATGCGTGGCTGGTCCCATATATATCTCACTTGCAATCGACTGTCAACAATCTGCTCGGTATTGGCTAGGTTATCACCCGGTCTGCACCTTCAATCTATGATAGGCAAAGGAAGAGAGAAAAAAGGAAAGGTAAAGCAGACTTGATTGGTAGGACACACCACTCACGATGCCTTTTGTTAAAGGTTTCAGAAAGCAGTAGGCACGATTAATTCTACTCATTGCATCAGTGGAAACAGTGCAATGTGAGGGTAGCTATCTGCTAGCTGTACTATCAGCTCCAGTAACCAGCCCCCTAACCTCCATACTCCAAAACCTCGATTCATGGGCATCAACACCCTGGCTCCCAAGCTTGCTGTTAGCTATCAGAAATCACCTCCACGTTCTCACCTACGATCATCACCCCTCATACCTTTTCAAAGAGCACGTACATAGAGTACGTCAGCGCAGCGCCTACACCGTTCTCTCCCAAACCTACCACCTTCCTCGATTTAGATCGCACCTAGAACTCCGAATACAACGCACAGAAATCGATTCCCTTACCCTGGTTCACTATGTCCCAACCCAGTCTGCCGGTCCCTGACTATGGGATGGAAACGAGATGTGGAGGCGTTAGTTACCAACGGGCCCTACCTACATGTACATATGTACTATGAGTGACCATCTATTCGGAACAGCGTTATGCGATATACCCACTCCCACGAGGCCAACGGACAGCGTTTCCAAGACGGAGCCATGCGTGGAGAAATGTGATGTGCTGAGGGTGAATCAACTGTAATAGGCCCACTGGCCCGGAGAGAAATTAAAAGTTTCCTTGTTTCTGCACGTGATCTGTTTGATCTGCGGAATCGAGTGGTGGATAGAGCTGGAGGGATGTACGAGGGCGTCATACATCTGTGCCTTGCTCATGATAACGACGATGTTTATTTTTGACCGTCCCATTGACCTTAGAAATACTATGGTGCTTCCAGGATCTCCTACATCTCAATTGTGCATCACTTAGGGTTGGAGCCAGCAGAGAGGAGAATAACAAACTAATCTTATTTTCGCATGAGCTGAAAAGAGAAATGATTATCAACGACAGAAATATGAAATGAAATTGCCTAATATCTGCCATAATAGCCTTCAATAAGAATCCTAGTAAAGTACATGGAAAGGAGGAAACGCCAGCGTATAGTGAGAATCTGAAGGGAACTATGAAAAGGCTTAGAAAGGTAGAGTCATGAAAAGACAATAAAAGACTAATGCAGTAAAGAACTGGCAATTGGGAACAAGTACACAAGAATGTAAAAGCTGTAGTGTCAAGGCTTATGAAATCCGAAAATCGTCGACTGCTTGATCGTTTCAAGTCGCTGCAAAAGGTGTGTGTCCCCCATTAGATTATTGAGATAGACCTGTCAGGTATTTCGTTAGGTTCGTTGTGATAGATCGTAACTGCCAGAACTCTAGCAGGCGTTCCTATAAAACAAAAATACGGATCAGTTAGCCAGTGATCTCCTCAGTATTCGTAAGAGTATCAATCTTGTGTGATTGTAGAATACAGACTATCGGGTTGGCTTCCAGGGCTCCATGAAAGTTTAATCCCACGGTCTGCGAACGTAACGTAAGTGCCCAAGTTGCCAAGGTCATTGCCAACGTTGAGAGCTACCAGACCCCACAGAACCTCGGGCGACCCTGAGAGTACTGCAATAGGATTTTCTTTAGTTTCGTCTGTGGGGTGCGAGACATGTGCCGTTTGAACGAAGAGGTTAGCCCAGCTAGAGACGTTTGTCGCATGAAAATTGTAAATGAGCTTGTGAGAAGGCCCAATATGATCCAACTTTAAACAGTCAGGTTTATCATCGGCGCCTTCTTCGAATGCTAAGGTTCTCCAACATTTGTATCCATCATCCAGTTCTCTATCGCAGCATGATTCTTTTGGATGGCCAGGAGAAATGAAAAAGAAGCTTTCTCCAATTTTTGAGGGTATCGGGCACTCAGTAATAGAAACACCTGCACAGCTGTGGTGTAGATATCCTCGGCGTCTGACACGGTCTAGGTCGTCGATGCGCTCCAGGCCAACTCCGTTCTCATAGCTGAACAGAAAGGTTCCACCCATCTCTCCAAGTGTTCCTGACAATGGGAGGGGACCAGGATCAATGATCTGGTAAGGGGTAATCTCGAGAATGTAATTCGGCTGAAAGAATATATCAGCACTGATGAGTATCTCTCATAAGAGCAAGAAGAAGAACTGAAGAGCCAGGGATAGATACCATAGCCATATTCGCCATTGCTGCGCTTTCGTCCTGCGTGCGTTCTTGATTTTTACTTCAGAGAAATTAGGTCCTTGTGTAGGCTTTATATCGATCCAAGTGCTCCACTTATTCATGACTTCCAACCATTTATATAGAGGATTGCATATTGAGTATCGTTACGATCGCGAGCGCTCGGAGCCTCATTGTATATGGGTGGTGTGGGTCAATTAATTTGGTCTTCATAAACAGGCGGGATCTAGTGGTCGAGGTCGAGCTGTTGTCGGCCATTGGAAACAAACCATCTAGCTACTTCTGCTGCACACGCGTGCATACATGTAGCTTATGGGTTTATCAACCACACCTTTGTGTTCAAATTTCTATTGACCTCAGAGAGAACCGTTTAGAACCCATCATGCATGTTTGACCCAACAGTACCACGTGTTAATTCTCGGGAGCTTCTATGAGCATTATACTATGCCATCATTTGTGATGCATTTGATAAGTGTCCAGCTAGGTCACGAATCTTGTTCTTTCGTGATACTTAGTTTCCATGAATGAGTCGCGGAGCTGTCAACCAATTGCAAGAGGTCCCCCGGCAAGAAGCTTGCAAAGGGAATTCGAAAGACTCCAGTGCGCGTAGCCGACGAAAGCGAACAAGAGAAATAATAACAACAGCCCCGAGCATAATAAGCCGAGCGAGGAGCTCCTGCCATCCGTACCGGAAATGATTGCTGATAAATGAGACAAAATATAAGTCCAATGTGGTAAATGATCAATATATCAGAAGAGCCCAATATAGCGTAGTACTATCGATCTGCATGATCTGATGGACTATATTATCAACCTTCACGGTTAAAGCAAGTTGATTATGTTGTAAAGATATCATTTTCTGTTCATCGCATATCTAGAGATGAAGAGCGTTGGTATTTATGCTTCGTGCCTGGTAGCGGTAGGCAATACGAAGAACTCTCTTTCGCTTGGTTCGCTTGGCTGGTTTGGCCGTTGACAAAACCACCATGTGACGTATTGAGCGTGCAGGTGACATAATTTTACATCTACCTACGTACAGTACCTACAGTATTCACAGATTTTAGACGTTCGCCGAGCCCAGTTTATGAGTAGGGGATCTTTCGAAAGGACTTAACATTCATCTTTTCGTCAAACTCTACCATCTGTGTCGTGCGGAATTTGTTTCAAAGGGCGAGGCCAACGATAGGCTGTTGATCTGCAGTATCCCGGGTTAAACAAACATAGACCACAAGCAGAATATTGATGGGTAATTTGTAGTGAATCCAGGAGCGGAAACCATCTATCTCAGGAGATGGGAGCATCAAACAGTGCACGAGGGAGTGGCCCTTTATATGTCCTGGAGCCTGGTTATGACACTTGGTCGTAGAAAATGTGCGAATTCGCACCGGTGGTACATACTAGCTAGACACCATTCAAAACCCGACCTTCCGGCTGCCCCATTCAAAATGTATCACTCTTCGCACAACCGGATGGTAAGATAAATGTATTGGAAATAGTAAATTGCCTCTTTGTAACTTCCAGCTTTCCTAGTTTGAGGCCAGAGGCGGACGAAATGTAAGTACATACACAGCTTGCGCACCCGCATTTTATTACAAGACACGCACAAAAATAAATTGTGTGTGGCTTCCCGGTGAATAACTTCTCCATCCTGCACAGGCAAAAAGTGTTCATGTATTCTTCCGGACCTAGGATGAAATCATAAACCTTGCGCTTGTGCAGCCAACATCGCCACGATTCGATCATCCATTCGAAGTTTAACACCTGAATCCAAAAATATTAAGGATTGGTTTCCCTATACTTGAATTCTGGTGACGCTACGAATTAATTTGTTAAACAAAATGTCTGGTATGCTGTCGGAATTAAACGCCCTGCAGGCTTTTGCAAGGCTGAAGTGAGGCGAAGGACGATTCACGGGCCATAAGTACCAATGTTTCTCTAAATCTCCACTTCTGTTGGGTTGAGATCTTCCCGCATGCGTCATAGATACGAAGGGATGCTAGTGACTGATAAGTGGTCGAAGATAGGAGTAGTATCAGTATTGATGTTGATTGGAACTTTTCGTGTAGACCCAATCACCTCCGCGCAGCCGTAGAATTTTGAATATTATGAAAATTAGCGATGCCTCTAATAACTGTATGTGAGGGTGTCAGAACCTAGATTTGCTTTCTGGCACATCTCTCAGTTCCATGTTTCATCTTCCATTGATCATAAACTCGCCGAGAAGTATGCAGGTAGCCATGACGCATAATTTGGCTTGTATTGCTGTCGGCAATACCAAAACCTGGAACACTAACTAGGCCAGCCAGGAGATTCCCGACTGGTCCAATTAATATTTCGACACCGTGAGTATTATTAGGTGATCTAAGTGTCTGGTACGCTCATTGGGTAATACCGGGATATCTCAGCTGATCTGGTTTTCAGATGTCATTAATTAGAAGGTATACCTAACTATTATAATAGGATTGTAACCACATCCGATAGAATAACATAATAGAGTCTTTTAGCTGTAAGAGTTGGACAGAAAGTCGAGCACTTCGACAAAAAGTCCTGCACATCTTGTTGGTTGAACGACTGCAAGTCTCTTCCGAAAACAGCTAGACTTTCTGACCAACCTGCTCGACTTTCTGTTCAACTCACGCAGCTAAAAGACTCTAATATCGCGATTTCAGCTATAGTGAAGAACTCTGGCCGATCAACCATCTGAGCATGAAGCCATAGAATAAAGGTCATTCCGAATGATGGGCTATATCCTTCTGCAGAAATATAAGGGTCGATCGCTTCGACGTGTAACGATAAGATAAGAGTTCTTAGTTTCCCTCGGGGATCACTGATGTACGTATACATACATGTACATGCAGCTACTGTATGTACCTGGCTTTACTGCGAAATTAACTGTGCCAGAAAATAATGAAAGTTAGCCTATATATTCATCTTTATTATTGAGGTTAGATCTAGGTACTTTGCGCTTAGAGCTTACCGTACATGTATGTATTGCCGCAGAAAATCCGGCATCACCACTCCTCACTCGCTAACCAAGTAACATCAAAATTCAGAAGGATTATCAATTGTAGGCATGTAGTACACCTTCCTAGGATATAAGGCTTAACGTCAGTTTATATGAGAGTTGTACGATTCCAGATCAGCTGTGCTTAGGCCTCGTTAAATGTAATCCACCTTTTTACAACTCCATACGTGCGCAGTGAGATAGCAGCTAGTTATAGTTGTATCAAGGAATCGGAGTGGGTAGGAGTGTTGTAATCGTATGTGATATGAAATGCGGCACGATGCGAGATTTGCTGGCAAATACTTGGTCCAAGTGTTCTTGGACATCCAACCGTACCGCGGATCTTGTAGATTTCTCGGCCACCGCGATTCAATTCTGCCTCGATGGACCGCCTCTCGAGGTTGCTCCGCGGTAATTGTCCAAGAGTATTGTTGAGACTATTCCGAAGAGTGTGGCGACTTGGAACAGAAAGATATTGCGGAAAGTTAGGCCTTAAGTTCCTCTGTACTTCCATCCTAGATAAACAAAGATGTATGTACCTACCCAGAACCTATTGGAGGGTAGCAAGGGTATTTATTCGGGAAGGCTTCTCGGGTGGTCCCGCAGAGCCGCCACTTCGGTTAATTACATCATGTTCCAGAAATCCCATTTTCACGACGCCACATCCCGGCAGTATTGAAACACTACATGTAGCCACATGTGCATGTATGCCTGCGTTGGTGTGCCTACATCTGAAGATCTGTGATCGTAAACATTAACTTACAAATGTACTTTGGATTACGGACTTGGGCTATCGTTCTAAAATAGCACATGAAGTGATAATTGATTGGGACCATATATATATTGAATTCTTAGCATGTTTGTATGTGAAGAGTTTAACGACTCAAGTACCAGCTACATGTACTAGCTTCTCAGAACAGTTGAAGAGTAACAAGAATTTTCTATAGTTACTGTAAGCTCGTTTCTCGAATTACGTGTCAGATAGTTGGTTAAATATTTCAGGCCTCTGGGAACGAAATCACTGATGATTTTACTGTGAGGGAAAGATTGGGTCGCCTTACATATATTCTCAATTTCTCAAGCGATAGCAAGACTGGAACTCAAGTTCGGTAAAATTTTAAATGGGCTAACAAACAACCAATCTCAAACGGTTGACGAAACTGAACACGAAGCTCGCAAGGCCTAACCAACAACAACGTAATCCGTTAAAACCCAAACCAAGAACTACATATGATTAAGTAAGTCCTACATGACAGTGTTGGGGCGGGCCATAGGAGCATATTTATTGAGTAATATAATTAGTGTTAAATTTTAACGATCATAAATTGAGCATCATCTATAAATACTTCATAGCAAATGCTAAATGCTTTTGAGCTCTTCCATATCTCACAGACGTCAAAGATCAACCAGATTGACAAAGCCAAATTTATAAAGCTTAAAAGCCAATAAACTCGCTCGTTATTAATTACGACGCAATTCTATTCACGTCTTATAATCTTTGTCGTTTCGAATTCCTGGCTCTTGCATGATAGCTTCACCTCATCAAAACCCTACAGAGGTTCAAGAGTTTTGGATGTACTAAATGTAGTAAAGACCCAACAGGATAGATCATGACACCGATGAGCAGGAACAATTCTGGTCCATGCAACATGTAGATACTAGATACATGCGTGTATATGTAGGTACATCAACGCCCACCAGTTTTTGTAGGGTTTGGTGTGACCACAAAAGGATATTCAATTAGTCGACGTTCGCCGTGAAAACCCCGCATGAACAGCCTCATCAATCACAGCTCAACAGCTAAAATGTAACCTCATCGTAACGGAATTAGATTGGTGGCTGGGAAGTGTCGATGAGACATGTAAATCGGCCTGTGGCAGTAGGGCACCGCAACTGTTAATCTCTGACCAAGCTTCTCGTATAGGTGTCTTGGAGCATTTCACATCATCGTATCTCAAAGCCTCTCGACCTTCCGTGTCTAGTGATACATGCTGATTAGAGT